GCCCCATTTATTCCGGATTATTTTGAAAGTTATTATTTATTTTTTTATTTATTTGTCCGAATAAATTTATTTATTTTATCTATGCTCGTAATTGCCTGAATTGTTTGTTGTTATAGATAAATAAATAATGTGTGTATTTCATTGACTAAATATGTATCTGCATTATTATTATTATTATTATTATTATTATTATATAATTATTATGTATATTTTATATACAAATATTATCTGCATTTGATTTTAAATTTTCGCCACGTCGAACCAAGCCTCGAATAATTTTTGAGTTGAGCCCGAGAGAACCGGCCGATTTGATTTTTGGGATCATTTTTTTTAGCCCAATTTGGTTAAATGCTTTGGCCCAACTTGGATTTAAATAAAATGACCTTGTCATTTTAATCGATTTCAAAAAGCCCAACAGATAAAATTTTATCTGATTGTTTGAAAACGCCGATAAGCCTGATCTGCCCGTTCAAAAGCTTCAGAGCGGGTCTTCAGGAGATGGCTTCTCCAACTAACATGCACGTTCTTTTCTCTCTCGCTAATTATGTGCTCAGATTTTCTCCTCTCCCGTCAATCTCTTTCACGCATCATTTTTCACGCCATCAGAAACCAATCTCTCATTTTCTCTAAGCCCGACAACGAGCCATCCTCATCACTTCCGTTCATCATCCTCCATCATCATCTTCACCTCACCGCTGCAATTTCCGGCGACTTTCTGTTCGAGAGCAGACCACGAGCGAACCCCGACGTGAGCAACCTCCGCCTACAATTTTTCCGGTGACCTCAGCACCAACGCCGACGAATCCTTCCAGCGGAGTTCTCTTCCCGACGTGAACCAGCCGGCCATTACCCGACGAGCTCTTCTCCCTCCGACGGCCCCAGCAGCAACGCCGACGATTCACGCGAGCAGGCCCTCCACGAACAACCGCTCGTCATTTTCCGGCGAGACTTTCCCTCCCGACGGGAACCAGTAGCCGGGAAGCTTTTTCCGGCGAGTTCCATCGCAAGCTCTCTTCCTCCGGCGAGCTCTATTCAGTCCGGCGGACCCTCCTCCGCCACGCAGCAGCTACGCCGCGACCCGAGCCCTTGTCCGACGAGCCTGCTCCTCCCCTCCTTCATGAGACGAAGCGAAGCCGTCGAGCTCGTTCGTCGAGAAGCAGCCCAGCCTTCCTTTCTCGTTCCCTTCTGAGATTTTCCGAGATCGGTAACGAGACTCGATCTCTCGCTAAATTATCTACGTGTTATATTCGTGTAGAGATTTTATGTGTATATTCGAATATCGTTCGGTATCTTGTGATTTGACATGGTTTAACTGGCCTCGCCCGCTTATGTTGAACTCTATGTTGTTGCAGTGATTAGTCGAGTATATGCTCGTTTATTCCTGTTTTTGGGAGAACCACATGAAATATATGCGTGTTTTGATACGAGGCGAAGTTCATTTTTGAATGCGTGATTTATTCAAAAAATACTGCCCTGTTAAGATGCGATTATGACCCTCTGAAACTGGTTATTTGAAATTATGGTCTTCATGTGAAATGTAGTATGTTCAGTTTGGTAAACCTGAGCTTTGGAATTTCTTGATTCCGAGTTGTATTGAATAAGTTGTGATTTTTACAAAAATGTTGCGCGTCCAGTTTTCCTGTTACCCGGCAGCATGTCTATAACTAAAATATGGTCTGTTTATCGTGTCGTAATGTGCTCGTATGAATTTACACTCTTCATGAAAGTTATAGTCCTGTTTCTTGCCTTTCAAATGAGATACATTTCATGTCGATACGTGCTCTGTAGCGCGTTCTAGGTTGTAAACACTAAAGTGCTGTCCATATCGCATGTGAGTTTTTGACAGATTTGTTGAACCAAATGTTTTGTGTTTAACCTCATTGAAAACGTATTTATTTGCCAACGTGACCTTCAGCAAAGTTGTAGATATTTGACATATCTATCATGTGGTTTTTGAATGTCAATAAAAACATGGCTGTAGCTCCGGTTAGAGAGTAATTACTGAGGGCTGGTCAAGTGCATTACCCCAGTTTTGGACTGTGACTCATTTTTGAATGTTTGTTGATTTATCACCTGTTAAATGGCCTTATTTGCTTTCGGTGTCTTCATAAGAATTGTAGATTCATATCTTAAGATTCTAATGCAACTTGATCCATGATCACATGAGTTGTGTGTTGAGAGTTATGTCGGTTTTAAAAACGCTGCCCGGGTTAAGTTTTCAAAACGTAAGTGATATTTTCAGAATTTGGATTTCCTTGATTTAATGCATGCTTAAATGCTTACGTGAGCTTACTTGGACTAAGTGATTTGTTGAATAGTCATTGATAGGGCTATTTTATTAAATGTAGGTGCTTGACGAGTCGAACTCGCCGCCTACACTCAATTTGTGATTTGTCTCGATTCCGACCAGGTGGGTTGTTATTCTAAAATTACCTGTGCAATGTGTGTTTAAATATGTTTTTCTGATTTGGCGTGATCTATGTATGAATGTGAACATGTATCCTATCGATGGGAGCTATTATGATGGCCATCGGTACGGTTGTCCCCGTCGATGTAATACGGTTGCCCTTGCGAGGCAAGTCTCCTTAAGACCTATTATGAAAGGCCGTGTCCTTGCGTGGCATGTACTCTCGCCGTTAGGGTAATGAATCCCCTTTCCGCGACTATTATGAAAGATGTGTACACATGAGTATTTATGTTTATGTTGGTGATGTGACATATGTGATATTATTTATGTTCATGCTACGACCATGCATATTTACCATGTTACCGAATATGCATTGCATAGTGTGAGTACGATATTTAACTGTACTCACTCCCACCTGCTCGTAACTGATGCAGGTTAAGCAGTGGCGCGTGACGAGGAAAGGCGAGTGGTGGTCACACTTATTTATTATGTTTATTTAATTGCTTCCGCTTTTCACGAACTTATGTTGGTATTGAACCTACGTTGGTTTGGAGTTGGAACTTGTTTATTTTGAAAACATTTGGATTTGGTTTATGTTGAAAAACCTTTCTTGATATATGATTGAGTTCATCCTGATGTTTATGTTTACGTTATGTGGTTAATGAAAACCGTTGGAAAAATCGGGTAATGAATCCCCGTAGTTCAGTTATGACTTGAACTGTGTTTTTGAAAAGAATGAGTAACGCCAAAAGTTTATGGTTCGAAAAATAAGTTTCGAAAATTTTTACCTTGATTTTTTTTTTTGAAAAGCCATGGATTTTCTTTAAAAATCGATTGGGGCGTTACAATTGTAGTGTACTAGTTTACAATTATAAGAGCATATATTATGTCTACTTTTATGAGACATTGTTTTTAATTTATAATGGTAATGTATGTAAATAAGAGATATGTAATTGTTTTGTTACAATTACATATCTCTTATTCATTTCAGAACAATGGTAAAAGGAATAAAGAGATATGTGTTATTTTAGTTATTGTTTTGAATTATTTTATAGGAAAATGCCGAAAAGAAGGTACCAGATCAAGCACTCATGTACAAGGAAACTCGCAAAAGGAAAGAAGGGAAGACTTATATGTCATCTCATGTAAGTAACATTTTTTTTTTTTTTTTTTTTTTTTTCTGCTAGGAATTTAAGGAAAGGTTTTCTTAATGTCTATTTGTGTTTTTTATTATTTCTGATGATTAGTTTTATAATTTCAAAATGAGACACTTAAGTGTATTGTTTCTCTTATACAATTTGATATGTATCCAAATAGGAGGAAACGGTTCCAGACTCATTGAAGAGTGAACTTTTGGGAAGATATACCAAGAAAAGAAAACAATCTCTTAATTGTGGTAGTGGTGGAGTCCTGATTCCGAATGAAATTATGCAACCGTATAGAGCTGGGATTTTAAAAGAGACAGTAGCAGAAGTTATGAAACTGTTGAAAGATCAAATTCCTTCTGAGATACTTTCAACTATAGCCTCATCACTCAAAACACAATCTTTTGAAGGCAACAAAGAGACTGGACATTGTCAGGTAATTCTATATCTCCTTATTTGAATGTGAAACTTTAATTTGTTAAATCTAGAAATGCTTTGTAATGTGTTCTGATGGTTTGAATTTCTTGAAAGAAAAGTACAAATAATGAGTGTGGCTTGATGATATAGATTGAAAACAAAAGTACAAGTAATTTGCTATGTCTTCTGATGGTTTAAATTGTTGATTTTTATATTGCCTTTCAATTTTTTTTTCTTTCAATATAAGCTCCATCCGAAATCTCATAGTATAAATAGTCTCATTTATTTGATTTTTCAAATGGGCGATGTGAATGTAAGTTTTTAACTATTGTCATCTTGGTCATCTAGTAATTCATAACCTATTTCTGTCATTTTTGCATGCTTTCGAAGTGATAATATTGTTATTTTGTTGACTTTTGGAGTGTTAAAATTATGCATTTTCAGGATGACATCTTTGACGATGATGGAGCAAATGATTATGATAAAACCATTCATGAAAATGCTGAGAGAATAGAGAATGAAGAAGGCGAAGAAGGAGAAGAAGAAATAGACTGACTATTCGCTTTGTGTCTTTTGTTAGTTACTCTCCGTCTTTGTTGCATTAAGGACCTTTGAAGTTGGTAGATTTAGCCTCTTTTTACTTAACCTTTGGAATGTTGGCCTCTTTATCTTTCTTTGTTTTGAAATATAGAGATATTTTATTACTTTTATATTGCAGTGTATTTTTAATATTCCAGTTTACATTTTGTATATGTATATATACATAGAACCAGCTTAATAAGTACTTTAATTGAGAAGTAACTTAAAGTGATAAGAAATCTTAATAATGTGAAACAATAAATGAAATTAAAGTGATACAAGTATTAGATAAGATGTTACTCTATGTATAAGGTAATTATAACACATTTAATAAGCTAAAGTAACATTTTTTTTAAGAAAAAGTGCTATGTTAAAAGATCTATCGTGACACAATTATGGTGCACAGTGTTACCATACAAGAAAAATTGATTTAAGAAAAATATTACAATTGGACAAAAATGTGTTACATAAACTATTATATCTAACATTTGAAAAGTGTTACGTCAAACTGTTACAATAGATATCCTAACGTTACACTTGAAAAAAATGTTTCTAAAAAAGCTTTCAAAAGTGATACCTGTGACTATAGGTAACGCAATCAGATACGACGCCAGTGGAAATGTTAGCTATTATGTACGGTAACATTTTTTAGGTATTAAACAATACTTTTTCACTGTTACAAAATATCAGTTATGTTGTAGTGATATATAAGATAAAACTCGTGGTATATTTTCTTATATAGATTTGAAATAATAATAATACTAAGAAAAAAGTACAAATAGATGAAAATGTATAACTATTACGAACTTTAACGATGTGAATTAAAAGAAAAATAAATGAGTTATATGAAACTATTATTCATTTACCACTTGAAAGGGAACACCATAATGGTTGTAACATATATTTTTTTTGTAAATATGAAAATGAGTTAGTTACTTAATATTTTATAAACATTGAAAAATAATATTATTTATGAACAGAATAAAAAACAATAAAACATTATTAATGCAATTAAGGGGATGCGACAATGAACTTTATAAAACAGGTGAAAATGTTTAGTTTTCAGTTAAAATCCTACACAGGTACTTAAATATATTAATTTGTACAATTGAAAAATTAAAATAATTTATTTTTTGTTGTAAAATTATGAATAATGAATATATAAAAATAATGAATAACTAACAAATTAGTAATTAATTCAAAATGGGGCCCGTATTTTTGTACTTACTTTCCTTATTTTTTTAAAAAATTTATGAAAAAATGCATTAAAATGATTATTTTATGGTGTATTATTGAATTAGATTTTTATTATATTTATTATAAAATAATTTATATCATATTTATATTTTTGAAATTAATTTTTTAATAAATTTAGTTTTTTTATAATGTAAGATGTAATTATTTTTTATTTTATATATGCAATATGGATGTCAGATCGAAGATCGTCAAAATATGATTATTTTGAGATATAATATACAAAAAATAAAATAAAAATAGAAAAAAAAAACAAGGATTTAAAAATAAAAAGAATACATATTCATAACAATTATTATATGAATTAAATAAGAAAAAGTAATGAAAGAGAAATTTAAGTAGGGAGATTTAAGTATGGAAGACAATAAATTTATAATAATGGAAGAGAAATTTATGGGAGACAATAATGTAAGATGAAATAATTATTTATGGTTGATTCCAAGCCAATTTTATTTCCAAAATTTTTATCTGAATCTAAATACAAAACATGATATTTTGACACACATGATTCCAAAACATGCGAGTCTGCCACTTATGCTCAGCACGTTTTGAATTAATATATAAGGGGAATAAGTTGTGTATTACTTTAATGTGCAAGTTTAGTGAGTAATGTATTGGTAATTGTAAACCTGTCATTTAAACTCAGTACGTTTTGCATTAATATATAAGGAGAATAAGTTGTGCATTACTTTAATGTGCAAGTTTAGTGAGTAATGTATTGTAATTGTAAATTTTGGTCACTATCAATTATAGTTGTTATTTTTGAAAGCAATCAATCTAAAAATAAAAATATTGTTATATAGAGAGACAAGTCCTACAAACATCGAATATGGTACCCAACCAAATATAAACTGTAATAATCATCTTATATTTTTTATGATATTAAATTTAAAGTTTATTTAATTTAGTACAATTCAATGGACCTCGATCGTTGCATTTGCACGGGTTAAATTTGTTATATTGTTGAATTTAAAGTTTACTCAATTGAACATAATTCAATTGTTCGGTGCATTTGCTCGGGTTAAAAAGAACCATCATGCAACGGGTTAGCCTAGTACCAAGTAACTTTTGTATTGTCCTATTGTAGGTTGCCTCGAACTCATGACATAATTTTCATTTTTTTTTTTGGAAATTAAAAAAAAAAAAGATTCTAAATATGAATTGGAAAATTGCCACACTACGTTTGTGGAAAAGCAACTGTAAAGAACAACTGTGAACAAGGCATCCACTGTTTGGATTCCTGTGTAAACTTCATCAAGGATCTTGAATAAATAATTTGGTGTATACGAAACACTTACTTGATGCGGAAGACAACATAATTTGTGATCTTGATCTTGATTGTCACACGAGGTTGAATCGATCGGTAGATCTAAATCAGTTTCTCTCTCCTAACCGATTTCTTAACGTAGCAGAAAAGTGATGGGATAATAACTGCGTACCCTAATAGGAGGAGAGAGGACTAATTTATATAGGGGTGCTTTAGATCTGGTACGTCCATCAAATATCCAGATTAATGGCTTAGATTTGTTTGACTATTAATTAAAGGCCTAGCCCATTAGGATAATTAATTGTGAGCCCAATGCTTTCGGGCACATATTCTTACATTCTCCCACTTGGTCCGAAAGCCCATAATTTAATAGTATAACATTAAGTGCACATAAACAAATTTCATTATGCCATACATCATAATAAACTATGACATGATAAACCATATAGTGAGAGTTATGGCGGTTGTACACTCTCGATTCACATACTTCCTTCCATATACTACTACACTAACAGTTTAACACACAAAGTTTCATAATTATATATAAATATCATAATGTCCACTTAATTGTCATGAAGACATTCATTTCTTGTTCTAAACATAATGTATACAAAATCATAATGAACAAGAAATTCGATAATAGTCAAAAACATAACATCAATGAGCTCAAGAGTGTGCCATAACATCATCATAATCAATCATCAATACAACCAAGACCCATTCTACGTACATGTTCTTTAAATGTCTTTGGTTGTAGACCTTTAGTTAACGGATCGGCAATCATAAGGTCCGTTCTTATATGTTCAATGCACACTCTTTGTTTCTGAACTTCCTCCTTAACGGCAAAATACTTTAATTCCATGTGTTTTGCACCTTTGGAATATTTGTCGTTCTTGGAGAAGAAAACTGCTGCGGAATTATCACAATACAGTTTCAGCGGCTTGGTAATGGTGTCGACAACCCCAAGTCCCGAAATAAAGTTCTGCAGCCATAATGCGTGAATTATAGCCTCAAAACAAGCTACAAATTCAGCCTCCATAGTAGATGCAGCTATGACAGACTGTTTGGCACTTTTCCATGATATTGCTCCTTCGGCGAGGAGAAACACATAGCCAAACATTGACTTGCGACTGTCAAGGCACCCAGCAAAATCTGAATCTGAATATCCAAGCACCTCAAGGCGATCAGATTTTCTAAACGTGAGCATATGATCCTTCATCCCTTGAAGGTATCTCATCACTTTCTTTGCAGCTTTCCAGTGATCCATTCCAGGATTACTTTGATATCGGCCAAGCATTCCCACAGCGAAGCTAATATCAGGCCTCGTGCAAGTTTGCAAGTACATCAAACTGCCCACAACAGAAGCATATGGAATAGATTCTATACTCTTTCGTTCCACATCATTCTTAGGGCATTGCATAAGACTAAACTTATCCCCTTTCTGTAATGGGACAACACTTGGTGAACAATTGTTCATACCAAATCTCTCAAGAATTTTCTCGATATAAGCTTTCTGAGACAATCCTAACATTCCTTGTGATCTATCTCGGAATATAGAAATTCCAATCACATAGGATGCCTCTCCCATATTTTTCATTTCAAAATTCCTTGAGAGAAAATCTTTAGTCTCATGCAAAATTCCCAAATCATTAGCAGCAAGTAGGATATCATCAACATATAGAACCAAAAATATAAACTTACTCCCACTGATCTTCTGGTAAATACACCGATCAACAGTGTTTTCTTGAAAACCAAAAGACGTGATGGTATCATTAAACTTAATATACCATTGTCTGGAAGCTTGTTTAAGTCCATATATTGACTTCTTAAGTTTACACACCATGTGACCCTTTCCTTCTATGGAAAACCCTTCGGGTTGATCCATATAAACTTCCTCATTTAAGTCCCCATTAAGAAAGACTGTTTTCACATCCATTTGATGTAACTCTAAATCATACTGAGCTACTAAAGCCATAATGATCCTTAAAGAATCCTTCTTAGAAACAGGTGAAAAAGTCTCCTTATAATCAATGCCATCTTTCTAAGTATAACCCTTGGCAACAAGTCTAGCTTTATGTCGTTCGATATTGCCACTCGAGTCGCGTTTGGTCTTAAAGACCCATTTACATCCAACTTGTTTTGAACTTTCTGGCAATTCTACTAGATCCCAAACATTGTTTTTAGCCATAGAGTTTAACTCTTCTTTCATAGCATCAATCCATTTATGAGACTCGTCACTGTTAATGGCTTGTGAAAACGAAACAGGATCTTCATCAATGCTAGTATCATAATCCAACTCTTGCAAATAAACCACATAATCATCTGAAATAGCAGATCTTCTCACCCTTGTAGGTTTGCTTAATGCTATTCCACGTGGTTCATTTGTGTTAGTTGGTGGGAAGTTAGTGTATTCATGGGGTACTACTTCATCCAAATTTTGTCCACCATTATTTTG